TGCAAAAGAGACAGACACAATGGTAGAGAAAAGGTGAGGTGAGTGCTGAGGAAATAGTCGAATATGGCATAGAGTGAGGTGATGGTAGTTTGAAGTGAGAAGTCAACTGCCAGTTAATAGACTTTTTTTGCCGTATGAGTATACGTTGCCCAGGATGCATCACGTGGAGGTAAGTCTATCGCACACCCCCCGTATTGGGATCTTGTGGGTCTTTTGTACGTGGTCCCTAATGCGCTACTTCCAAAACAATCGTCTGTAAGAAATTTGACTGCAATGAACTGTCCCTTTCTTTGTTCAAAGTTCTGAACAAGTCAGTTGTTACTGAGTGCCTTCTCAAGGTAATTATGAGAAGTGCTAACTACACTTTAGTGACCATGATTAGCAACTCGCAGTTTATTGACCTCGTGATCTCCGGTTTGGTAGACTTGCAGTCTAAGCACGAAATTTATTGTTAACGTCTTACCTATTAGCTTTGTTTGCGGTAAAACTGTCTTATTTAAATTTTTTCATATCCTTTGAAAGTTATCCGAATCATACGTCCTTTCTGGGTGAAATTTCATGTAATTGCTATTTGAAGTATTTTGTAGTTGACGAAAGCATTGGTGGGGGGGGGGGTATATTTTTAAATAGTAGGATTCCATCTTGGAGCGAACGAAAAACCTGATAACTAAACCATATTTGTGTTACGAATAAACGATTAGAATTGCTGTCCATTGTTCTGGTATATTGCGTGGGTGGTTTTAGCTGTTGTATACATTAGCAATTCGTTTTAGGGAAATAATTACACCTCACTGCCTTCCATTTGTGCGGGATATTTTTTGTTATCGTAATGAGATCTCAACAATGAATGAATAAGCTTCCCGCCTACTAGCTACTAGATTTGAAAGTGAATGATACAATTATTTCATGCCTCTTTGTCTAATCAAACTGTATTGGTTCGAAATCTGTCGCTGTACTTTAATTGAGGACTGCAAGTGAGTTTCTTAAACAATGGGCCTCGAGGCTTATGACGCGCAAGGTATGAAAACATATCCGCTTACCTGTTTGGGGTTTTTAGGCCTTTCAGAACGGTTAATCAAAGTGTTTTGACATTTAAGGGCTGGCGAGTGGTGGGCGGGGGGGGGGGGGGGGGGGGGGGGGGGGGGTAGGAGGGCATAATTAGGGGGCGAAAAAACCATCTTCTCCTTCATGACCTAATATGCTGCCACCATGACCTTACTGAGGCAAGATGAAGGAGGAGGCGGTCAATGGTACTTTTGTGGTCGAATTTCCTTAATTTCTAATCTCACGTCCTTATTGCAGTGGTAGCTTGTTTTTTTAACTTAAAACGAGTAATAATTGCAATGCTGATGATAATGATAATTGATGGAGGTGAAAAAATCTGGATGTTTCTTTTGCTCCATTTGCCATACTTTTTTTCAATAATTTCCTCAGTCCTTTCTCACTTTTATGGTTTGTGTACTTAATCACTGCCAAGTCTTCATCTTTCACCCATCTTACTGAACCCTCTCGATGATTGAAGTCATCATTAAGGACTAATTGTCAGAGCAGCTAGTTTTTTTGAGAATAGCTTATGTGGAATCGCCTATTTTTTTACCTTGTTCTGCGCTAACTCCAAGACCTATTTGTGAAAACCTTCCCCAATACTCGTCTTGGATATATAGGATTTTCCTTTTTGAGAAACTTGAAGCCTTCTTCCCCCCCCCCCCCCCCTCCCCCTTATCAGCCAGACCAGCGATTTTGAACCAATGGGCATTGAACTAAACTCCATAGGCGTTTTGGAGTTCCCTTCCTCGACATCAACCACTTCTATGAAACGCCAATGACCATTTAATTGATTTAAGTCGAAATGAGGATTGATTCTGCCTTACCAGGGGTGAGAGTTACAGTTAATAGGGATTCTTTTCCATTTCCTTAAGAGCCCTGCTAAGTAGCGTTTGTTATTTCCCTTAGACGGGTTAACATATTCCCTTCTTTCTTCCTTATCCCACACCTACTCGATAAATTGTTGATTAGGTGACTCAAAGTCGGTTATCGAAGGGGAGGGGGGGGGGGCAGTCTAACGAACTTAATTTGCGTTAGCTCTACTAGTGGCTTGTTGCTCAGGTTTGGCTTATCATTAGTCATTGTTGAAGAAATGTGAACTTTGCTGCAAGCTGTTATGTTGCACATGACACACTTGAACCTTCGTTCGATTTCTCAACGTCCTTTTATTTTCGTGACCTTTTGCGCTTTAGTGTTCATATATGCAGAGTTATTGGCAACCTGAACTAAATTCTTTGATTTTAGTACTTTCGAAGTGTAATGAATGAATTCATTACCCCCCCCCCTCCCTCCCACCTCATTCTCTATTGATAAACAGTTTGAGCACTTGAAGTTGTTTTATGTTCTGAAAAAAACTTAGTTCCACCTCAAATTTACTATTATTTGCAAAGTTCGCAGAACCCTCTCGTGCATGCATGCATGCATTTTTTGATATTCTTCTTTTGCCTATTGTTTTAATGTTCATAGCTGGGACTAATGTAGAAAAACCAAATGGGCATATGATGTATTCTCTTTTTACAGGTACTCTGTGGACTTGTTAAAGGACAAGTTGGAGGATGCTACGGAGTCAAGCCAGTACAACCAAAGGTGTGCCGCAGACAAGAAAAAGGTACGTTTCGTCCTATTCTGAGTCATCTATCCCATAGTCCACTCCTTAGTTTGGCTAGGGCAAAAATTCAATTGCAGGGTTCATCTCAATTAATGCAATTTTGCGCTCTGAACCTAGAATCGTCTTGGTGTTTTTAATTGCCTTCAAAACTGAAAAGTTATCGATTGCATTATCTCGTAATCCACCTTTGAATAAACAGTGAAGTGTTATATTTTGTGATTACTATTTAGACACTAGACCAACTATCCATAATTCTCTTAACGCAGATTTTCAAATGGGAGAGGACTATCTTTGAAAAATAATAAACTATACATTGATTTCGTGGTGAGAACTTTCCAGATGCAAGTTCCTGTTATTAGGCTGCTTTATCTCAAATTTTTGAATATATTTGTCTATCGCATGGGATTTTGCACTGCACTCTACACCGTTAGCAAAAGAAACGGCCCATCTCTTCTAAAATAAATATAACTTTTCTATTGACCGATCGCCTCTTTTTTCTCCATCACGTACGCTTCCAGTTTGGGGGAGGGCGAAGAAGGGGGGGGGGTGGAACAACTTTGTACAGACATTTTTCTGATGAATCAGTGCCTGCCTTCGTCTTTTTTTGTCATGGGTTCGGAGCCGATGCAAATCCAGGAGTTGAAACTTTGTTAAGTCTTTATATCCCACCACCATAGTTTTGAGCGATTCGTTCAAACACTTTCAGGTACTGTGACTTAAGTATGGACCATATTATTGGGGTCTATGGCGAGGAATCAGGAGAGCTAGATGCCAATGCTGGAAATGGGCGGACCAATATCTGTGCTGGCCCTGAGTACTATCTGTTCTCGTACTCATCCAATGCGAATTACTTACTTGACTATGATTGCCGTCTTCTGCCTTCCACGATAAATATCGCGGATATTGTGAAATATTGTTTTGATAGGAGGCTTTGAGACTGAAATATTTTACTTTCCTCGCCCATAATTTTACAATCAGAAGTACCTTAAAAGTATGGAAGTGTTCCAAAAAAGCGTTAATGACGTGGTTATCTAAGGCCCCATCCCGGTCTTCAGCATTTTCTTTAACAAGCGTTAGACAATGGAGGCACTTGGGTTTTATTGGACTTTTCGTCAAATAATTCCGAGAACATCGTCCTAGACATCAATTTGCAGCTTTTCCTAACCGCCTTAACTACAGTTCAACTTCTTCACATCTGAGATTCCATCAGGGATCGCTTCAGTAAATATGCTCCATACTCCTTCCCCCCCCCNCCCCCCCCCCCCCCCCCCCCCCCCCAATTACCGAAAACCTACTCTTCTTCTCAGTTATAGAGAAAGTTATTAATTTAATGAACCGGGCATTCTGCAGATGGTTATGTTTGGGTTAGGAAATACTTGGTTTTTCGCTTTTATTATTCATAAATTGAGAAGTCTCGTTTTGCAGTATCGTAAGCTTTTCTGGCGTTTCTTTAGAAGAATTTCAATTATTTTCTTCTTCAACACACGAGTTCAAATGAAACAATATCAATCAATGCCCTTTTTGCAGACATCCAAATTTTACCTCCTTTTCTACCCGTTATCTCCAACTCCTACTACTGCCTTTATAGCGAAAAGTTATTGCATTATTCAACTGACGTCGTATTTCATAATTGTTTCTGTCAACACTTTAGGGGTCAGGAGTTAGTTTCAACATGAAACAAATTATTTTAATTTCGTCAGAGGAAAATGCCCTTATTTGAATGTTCTTCTTCGTCTTCCTCCACTTTTCATTAATGGGATAAGTATAAAGGAGGGGTAACTGTATGCATGCACTTTGGCACGTTGATTGGGGATTGATAGGCACGTAGTCATTGTCACAAGCATTTAATATACTTTCGAGCATTGTGGGTTTGGGGATTTACAGCCGAATCTGAATAGGTATTGCTCTTTGTCTTTTTCCCAGCTTCTCTGGTAGGCTGGAGGTTGGTTAAATTCGGCAAACTACCTGTTTAACCAGTTGTCAGTGTAAGGGGGCTTCATGCTTGTCACGCCCTTTGCAAATTAATAACCGTTGGAGAGTCACCCAGCTTTGTGATGACTCATCAATAGCGAGACGGTGAGTTATCATCGTGTTTAGACAGTTGAAAGGTGCACTCCCATAATAATAATTAGAAATATCGCGGCTTTTTCATTACCATATAATGATATTATGATTCAGTCGGAAATGTCTGATAATCGAGACCTCTTATATGTTACCAGAACTTCTAATTCGCCTTTCGTTCAGGTGATTTTCCCATGATTAATATTATAAATAATAAGCGACACTTGGTTTGAAGTACATCGCAATTCTCTCTCTATTGGCATTATAGGAATTGGCCTATCAACGGATGCAGTTACTTGAACTAAAGCACCAACTTGAACTCGCCCAACACCAGATCGCAATTCGAGATGAGTTGATTACAGAACGAGGTTTGGTACTAGTGAACGCCGATGGAACAGAGACCATTACTCCAGCAGATTTCACCAACGGAGATTCGGGAGGAGCGCTACAAATTCTAAATGGTTCTGATCCAGGCTCCTCAGAAAATGTCCAATCAGCCTCCTCCGACCAATTAACTGCCTCCTCAGCCTACCATAAATCTTCCTACAGTCTCCTCTCCAAGGCCAATGCAGAAGCGCTCAAATCGATCGGCGGATCTGATATTGGTAAAGGCATCTGTTTATCGACATAATAAGTTTATCTAAATAATCTGCGTCGCCGAATCAGTAATGATTCATCCAAAGACGAGTTTAAACAAATAGGGGACATGATTTCATATGAGGAGTTTGGTGTCCGGACAATTTGCAAATTTTTGCTAATACCCGCATCGACCGTACCTGTCATGCCCACTGTCCGTTTAGTTGATAATACGTAGTAAAACTGGCGTTTTTTCTTGCCTCTCCTAAATATCAGGACATAAAGAGTCCAGAATGAGCATAATATGGACGAAGGAGTGAGAAAGTTGAAGAGGTAAGGCTTTCTCCAGCCAGTTGTTTATGTCGGAAAAAGGTGTACTAATGTACTCAAGCAAATTACTCAAGGTGCGTTAAAGACGCCCCCCCCCCTCCCCAATTGGAGCCAAATCAATTGAAGCAGGCAAAAACTGTAACGGCTTTGCGTAGTATATGTAGTCCCATGTGTACTTCTTGAGAGTATGTTTAAAGTGCACTCTTTAAGTCCATATCCGAAGAAAGAGAAGCTTCTTTTAGACGTAAAGAAAGCCTACTATCTACTGGATGAGGCTGTTCCATTTTCTAGTTCCATTGGTTGCTGGATTTTATCGAATGGAAGATCGAACTTTTGGTTCCATTCACCCATCAAACATCTCTGGTAAAATTTGCAGAAGTATTAGTGTTATTTGCTGCAATTAATCAGCAATTTTTACTTGTTTTTTTTTATCGTTGTTCTCAAAGCCACACATTGCGCGCACATCTTACGCCTTTTTTGTTCCTAGACGCGAAGTTGGCCACCCTTCTAGCAGAACGAGCAAAAGACAAGGAACGAATTGAAACTCTGAAAGAGCATCTGGCCGAGGAGCGTGAACGAGTGGAAATGGTCCAGAAAATTGACTCTCGTGCCAAGGGTGGCGACCCAGAACATCTCAGACAAACTCTTCAAGGTAGGCTAATTCATCTTAAAGTGTGGTAATACAGTGGAGTGGGGGCGGGGGGGGGGGGGGGGGGGGGGGGGGAGCGTTGTATTTGTCTGGACCTCGTACATTTTCAACTGGACGCGCTATAATAAACAGACAGGTTTTCGCAATCGTACTGCGTTTATCAATTTGGAGTCAAAAGCGCGCGGATCTTAAAGCCTAAATTTACTTAATGAATTCCATTTTATTTAACCAACAAAAGCCGCCCAGTGAGAAACCTACATTTTTACGAATAAGTTGCCAAAGAATTCACCATGTAAAATAACGAATTAAATCGACTGCAGGCTTTAGCCAACATTATTTTCTCTTTTAGTCGCGCGATCTCAAGCTCAGGACTACAAGTTCCGATTAGAACAAGCCAATCAGAAGATCAGCGGCTTGGAAGGCGATGTGAGTTAATTTCTTATTTCCTTCATGTTTTTTCCTCACTCAATTGTTCTCTACGTTCTCCTTCTTCTAAAAACCTACTTCACCCATTAATCACGTCCTCTTCTTTCCGCTTGCTTTGATTCCTGCTATTCAGTCTATTTCTGCTGATTTATAGGCTGGTCTATTTCGAGACAAGGTGAAAATAAGCACTAATTGCCTATCCCAACCCTTGTGAATATACTATTTCTGTTTGAAGCACGCGTGGGGTTTTGCATGTCATACGTGTATGCCAACGGTCGCATGAGGTTTGTCTTGTCGCTGAAACAACCCTCATTTGTGAAACAAACATTTAAACCCAAATATGTATATCATGAGAGATTAACTGAAATGATGAAAAGGAAGGAATTGAAGTGTGTATTTAACCGATTTCATTACTCTGCGCGAATGATTTTTAATTGTTTTCCTCATTTAATAGATAATTCGACTAGAAGGTCAGGTAAAGCGTTTCAAGACAATCGCAGAGGACGCGGAGACACAGGAGGACCAATTGAAGCAGGAAAGACGCAAACTTCAACGAGAAGTAAGCGCTTTTGATTCACGCTACTGAAATGAATTAAGTGATCATAATAAACTAAAACGAATTCTTCGATTTATAGTTGAGAGAGGCCCTTTCGACTGTAGATGATTTAAAGTCGGAGAACTCCACTCTTCAGAGAAAAATAGACAAACTCTCAAGAGGTGGACCTGGCTTACCTACTGGATCAAATTTCCGTTCTTATCGCGGATCCTCACAAGCTCGATAGACGATCAATTCTTGTTTCAAGGTTGTGGAACAAAGAAATACAAACCAAGCGACGCGCCTGAGGCTTATTCTCCCATATCTCGTAAAAGGAAGACGTATTTTAAATTCTTAATCATCGTGCAGTACAAGCAGTCTTTCACCTATGGGTTAGCGTCTCCTCAATTTCCCTTTCTTCCCACTGTACATATGAAGAACAAATCATGTTCTGACTTTCGCCTCAAATCCTCTTCCTACACGAGTACAACAAGAGCTCCGGCCTTTCCCGCGTATAGCTCATCGTTATCGCCTATCTATCTATATATAACGAATACTGATATTACTATTATTGTGCGAATGACGCGAAACACAAATTACTGTATGCTCTATTTATGCCTGCGACTTATTGGTGACAACGAATAAATTAATTTGCAAATATTGAGTCGGATTTTATTGAGTTAATTGTGGATCAAGAAACCATATTTTTACAATAGTTGGTCTAGATGTTATCAACTTCTCGACAGAATAGTTATTCGTAATGTAAATTGCATCCAAATATTTTTCGACAAAAGCGAAGCAGAATTAAAAACCGAATCAGGGAATCTCACCAGTAAGTAATAATAGCTAGGGAGCTATCTTCCCAGTGATAGTAGTCGTCTCTTCGGATCTCTAGAGGAGAGATTATATTGCGTAATTTCTGCTGGCGTGCACTTGCGAAAAACGTCCTTTCGTTCGAACGACGGCTTGTTACGAAAGAAATGCGATCAGTTCTCGCTATACCTGACAACATACTGTGCCTAAATGTGTAACCCTGAATTAAACACAGCGAGCACTATTGCCATCCAATCTGGAAGCGACATCGTAGGAACCAATTAGTACCTCCATTCATTCAACTCATTAGCATCAAAGCTACACAATTCTTAATTATTCACCTGCAAATATCTTCATCACTGAACCATAGACAAAAGTATCGATATATTAGCTCGAATTAGTACTTCTTTCCACTGGTAAATAAAATTGAAATTTGTGAAAAAAGCGCTATATGTGCAACAATAAACTCATAGGTTATAAAACCGAGAATAACATTTCATAAAAAATAGAAAACGGTCCGTTAATCAATGCATAACTACATATGATTCTATTTAAACATTCAAAGCTAAACCGGGCAACAATTACAGAATTATCACTCCATCCCGCTTTCTCTGAGGAGTTGTTTCATAGATTGTTCGGCCTGATATTCCATCCATTGGTCATACTCTGCTTTCCTCTTGGCTAATATAGCTTTGTTCTTCTTCTGGATGCCGACTTCACGGGCTTGAAGGTACTTGAGGCGAAGCGCGCCGTAGAGCATTCCAGTAAAAAGAAGACCCCAACGTGCAGTGCGGATAAATGGAGAAACAGGTTTCGGTGGGGCAAGTGTAATTTTATGGACGGATTCGGCAGCCATATTGATGCTGAAAATTAAACAAAACTAGCCTTACATTACAGAATAAAAGGTGATAAACAAATGGATAACAATGATTTTCGTAAGAAGTCATTCCCTTTACTGCGCTAACAATAGAAAATAAAAAACGATATTGAAAACCAAGGTAAATAAAGCATAAAGATGGGATGGTAATTCATTCGCAAAAAGTTAAAATGAATGACAATTTACAAGCAAGATTCTGTGATATACTGGGCTAACAAGAAAACAAAGCAAACAAACAAATGATCAAGCTATGATAATTCGGTTATTTTAGCTAAAGCGTAATGTTATGATAGCAAAGAATCGAAATTAAAAATAAAATTTGCAAAATACTATTTATTAAAATTAGGACCAATGGTATCATAAAAATTTATCTCGAATATTTCATACTTGATTGCTTGCGAATATTTTTAGATGGTGCTTTTAATAATGAAAAAATCTTGCAAATTAATGTGTAATTTTGAATACTTGTTCATGACTGCCTATTTCTGGGTGCAAAATTTGGCGGCTTGATTGAGTTTCTTTGGTTATTTTATTCCGGTGTCATAGATTTTGCTCAAGTAATTTGCCCCTTAAATTCTCTCAGAGTTTGGACGATTTGCATTACTTTAAGATATTTTAAATGTTTCAAAATAAATCCGATCTTTGATATTATAATTTTCTATTACTCATTAAGTGCTTTTATACCTTAACATCGCCATATTTTGCACTTATTTTAGGTGAACTTTTAATCGATGGATCGTCCGGATCCTTTTTATGTTGTACGTGATGAAATCATCAAATCCCTCTCACAAGCCAAGGTAGAATATGAATCCTGGAATCACGAGGTTACAACGAAATCAACCAATATTAAACCAGTGGAAACTGCTTTGAGAGAGTCAATTAGAAATATTGATTGGGATCTTGAGGATTTACAAGTAAATATTGTGTATCTTGTAAATTATGGCTCTTATTGAGCTATTTGCCTACTTGAAAGTCTTTTGCTCTATTTAAAGCCTTTTATGTTGTTAATTATTTATTTCTCATTTTATAATGGCAAAACGTTGATGTTTCTAACAACAAAATTACTATTTTTTATAATTTGAAATTTTGCTTCTTATAGCTCATTAATTTCTCTCGTTCGTTTGTAAAGTCTAGTTTTTTTATAAATCCAAATGCTTGTAATCTTTTTAGCGAATTTTTGAATTTGAGATATTTTTACCAGATTTCACCGTTTTATAACCGGTTACTCGTCGACAAAATTACACTCGTGTTTGATGAATGTCAAAGTTACCCTTAGCACAAATAGTAGCATTTTACAAATCTTATAATTCACCACTCATTTGTGTTCAATTGTAATTTATTTTGATTTGTTTAAATTTCTATATTTTTATGAATTTTCAATTAATTTCAATATCCCAATCTGTTTTACAACCAAAGTCTTTATTTTCTAATAAATTGTGTCATAAATTCGCTTTGACTTTTCCCGTTGTATCTAAGGTTAGAATAACTTGATATTTTTAATGCGAAAAGTCTTTGTTTAATTTATTTGAACATCGAAAAACTGCTATATGAACTCGAATATTGTGCTTTGAGCTTGAAAGCCATGTTATGCACTTTGGAAACTGGCAACTGGTTAAACAGTTTTTTTGCCGTTTTTACCATGTTAATGCACTTTGAAAAATGTTGATTTTTTCATTTATATCAAATGGCAGGCGTTTTGATGGTTATCATTAGTCCTTTAGTTGACTTCAGGCTTCACAAAGGGGAAGGAACATCAAAGTAAAAAAAGTCGTGAGGGAGGACATTAGGGTGTTTCAAAGACGAAGGTAGAAAGGAGGTGAGGTAAGTACTGTGGAAGGGGTCGAATATGACATACAGTGGGGTGATGGTAGTTTGAAGTGAGAAGTCAACTGCCGGTTTATAGAATTTTTTGCAGTATGAGTATACGTTGCCCAGGATGCACCACGTGGAGGTAAGTCTATCGCACACCACGCTTTGAAAAATGTTAGGCACAGTCTATTAACTCCGCAATTAATTGTGGGTACCTTCTAGTGCTTGTTTGATAGATCATTTATTTACTAAATGGAATGTCTGAGTAACATCAATAATTAGTTTAATTTAAGTCTATCGGTATCGCTTTTTTCGCTAAGTTGATATGTATGGAATTGCGTTCCGTTTGGAATTACCAAGATTTTGTATTCCGGAATTATCACTTTTGTGCCCTTATTAACTTCTCTTTTGCTAAATCTTTCAGCCAATATAGGTAATTTCTGTATACATCGTAATATTTGCGATAGACTTGCATTTTCATGCATTTTTGTTGATATCTTTGAAAGGTATTGTCATTTAGATAACTTTTGTAAAGTTTACAAAGGAATTGTTTAACAAATCAAACGATAGATTCAATGCGATCAGTACATGCACCACTAAACTTGTCGTATAGCATGGTAATGTAACTCAGGTGATTTTGCGCGTAATAAATTCATAGGGGAAGGTGGTTAATCAATGCAATATGGAAAGTTAGGGGAGGATGGAATTAATTATTAGAAACCAATTGACCTCATACTGTAAGGTTTATCTATGTGTTTTGTCATACTTTAATGATGCTTCTTGTCTTTTTATAGGAGACAGTTTTAATTGTAGAGAAAAACCCCTCGAAATTTTGCATTAGTTCAGAGGAACTTCGATCACGACAGCAGTTTTTGCGGGAAGTCAAAACTATTGTCAAGAACGTGAAAGACCAACTCTATGACCCTAACGATCTTATCACAGGAATTCAAAAGCCTATCAACTTTGATGTAACAATTGTGAAAAATCCTGCCTCAAATGCTATCAATGGATTCAACCAGGACCGTTTTAACTTAATGTGAGTTCACTTTTCAGTGCTATTTTATGGTATTATTTCACGAAATGCGTTCCTCCGTGCGGCATATAAATTAGTATTGGTAAGTAATTGGGCGTTCTTTCTTACAAATAATAATCTAATTGGGTACCCTACTCATATATTTCAGTAGGCCAAAATTTACGATTCAGTTTATTTGGTTAATTTGTATTCATGAATTTTCACATTCGGTTCCTCTCTGCTCATTGAATTTTTCTCTAAGCTTTAGTATTAACCTTTCCACAGTATGGATTATTTAGTGAAAACATTCAACGACTTAAGCTTCCATTTAGGAAAGCTTTTCTCGCACTTATCTTTACTTACGGGTTGCTGGATTCTGCTATCCCTCCTTTTTAGTCAAACTGCTTCCCGTGTATGTATCTGTGGGTATTGAAATCGTAATCTCTGATTTTACCATTCTCTTATTTTTTGCTGAGGATTAAAGTTCATTTCGTTATTGACGTGATGTATTATCGGCTCCAATTTCCAGTAGCTATGTGCACTTTCCGTCTTCTCTTTATGGAAAACATGTTCATACTAATCTAGCATTCCTGCAAATTCCTCCGACCACAGTGGTGCTAGTTGATGTGTTGTTTGCATATTTCCACAGCGCTGTTAACAAGTCGCAACAGTTGCCGCCTCTGTGTCATGTTAATAGTCCCTCTATTTCCTTCCCTCCCCTCCTTCTCCTAACCAACATGCCACTTTGACTACCACACAACACAGCTTGGGGACAATTGTAGGCCGACAACTGTCGGCCACTTGCTTCCCTCTACCACTCTACCGGCCTATTTTATTAACAAGCCTGCTTGCCTCTCGCCCCCCCCCCCCTCCACCTCCCCTCCTCCGCTATGTTTGTTAAACATTTCTTTCCATCTACCTCGGGCGGAAAACGTAAGCGTACACACCTCTAAAGTGGAGTTTACTTAAAGTCTAGTGTCTTAAATTGCACTTATGCCTGTTCACCTCTATTTTATGGGTCCTTGCGTAAGACTGTTAACCTATCTAATTTCGTCCAGTTTTATTGATAGTTGTCGTCTCCCTCCGCCCGTCTTCCCTTTGGAGATATTAATTTGCTCTGGTTGTGATTTGGGGAAATCTGAATGGAAAATCTTCTCACACCCAATCTACCTCTCACGAAGAGGCACTTTTTGTTGCCCATTTTTTATAGGTGGTTACCATATTGTTAGCCTCTGAAGTTCCTGTTGAAGTTATACTGTAGAGTTGACTTTTATGTTGATTCTCCTTTTTGATATTTCTTTGTTCAAAAATCGCAAATGATGTCTTAGCAGTTTGCCTAATTGTGTCCGAACTTTATTACGAGAATGCTTTTCAAGTTCTCGGACTCTGTAGAATTCCATCAAATACTAACTTCTCTTTAAATGAAAGTGGTTAAATGCCCTCGGTATTAACAAATCATTTTTTCGCATCTATCTTCAATATTATAAAATTAGATATCTATTAGAGGCACTAATAAGGAAACGTGTATTTTATGTATTATGAAATGTTGTTTATGCTTAATCTATGCACATGTTACTGTGTTACATAGCCTCTTTCATCTTCTCTAACTCTTTCGCATTGCTTTCTGGAAACACTTTGTTGTTTTGGAATTGATGTACTTTCCAAGTGCTTTTCGACTTCAGTCGGATTTAAAAATCGTTTTTTCTCTTCGAGCGTGCTTTACGAACCTTAAAAGGTGCTAATCGGGTGGGGTGGGGGGGGGGGACAAGTTTTTGAGGGAAATGGAGTATGTAGTTGAACGTTCAACTTTAATTTTTGCATTTTGAAAAGTTATTCCTGCTTTGTGGACCCATGGAGAAGAATGATCCATTTCTTGAAAAATGTTCAGATGTTTATCTTTTACTTTCCCATTTAGTTTTACACATTATTAATAATACAATTCGGCTGTAATCATTTCGTTTACATTTAGCAATTCATGGTGGATTATTGCAATAAACGCATAGAAAAAGTTTCCGACAGGTTAATCCTAGCGCTTAGGGGGTTGAAAAAAGTGTTGGATTTATTTTCATCTCTCGCTCCCCTTCCCCCCTCCCCTCCATCAAAGTGCCAACTTGGTGTAGAATGGACGATTTCTTTGTTGCCAAGACAACGAAGAAATGCACGTGTTTTTCTATTCATCTTTTTTTTCTACATTGTGTGGAAGCTAATGCCAGTGGCACCTAAATTCCCCTCCTATTCAATTTTCCCATACCATCAAGTTTAATTGCACATTTAACGGTGGCTATGTGGGATTCTGCTATAATTCAACCAGAAATTTTAACACTTCTTCAAAATTTGTAGATCGTCCTGCGCTCTTATTGACCGACTTAAATCTTTTTCTGTGGTCAAAATTGGCATCAGAGGAGGAGGAGTATAAGTGTACTGGGCACAATAGATTTCAGGAACAGTTTTAGTGCACTTCAGTCATTTAAGCCCTGATTAAGGAAAGAAAAATGCCATATCCGCGCTCTAATGTCTTCTTTTTCTGTGATTTGGTTTTGGACATTTTGCCCCTCGAGAATGCAATGCGATTCATTATCTGTAAATAGTTTTTTTTATCAAATCACCTACTAAGAAAATAAGCCGATTGAGTTATTTTCTCCACTGCCACCGCGGATACATACTGAACTCTAATGCCCACTTGTGTAAAGGGTTCGATTTCTTACTGTTACCCGTAATGTTTAACGAAGACTATTTGTAATGGTAAGATTTATTTATGGCAAATGGTAGGCTTAATAATAGTCATAATTAGCCCCTTAGTTGATTTCGGGCTTCACAGAGGGGAGGTACAGGCATAATCACAAAAGTCGAGAGGGAGGGGCAGAAGAGTGTTTCACAGATGTGGAAGAGACAAACACAAAGGTATAGAAAAGGTGAGGTGAGTACTGTGGAAATAGTCGAATATGGCATAGAGTGAGGTGATGGTAGTTTGAAGTGCCAGTTAATAGACATTTTTTGCCGTATGAATATACGTTGCCCAGGATGCATCACGTGGAGGTAAGTCTATTGCGCACTCTACTAATGGGAAAATGATTACTGAAACCAATTGTTTGTGAAGAGCACAGAGCTAGTTTGTAGTTTCCGAAAAATTTTGCAAATAATGCATTTTATTCCCTTAAAACTACTATACAACTGTGATCTCGAGCACTTTTATTCAGTTCATTTATTTAATGTGAAGATGACGCACATTCAAGTTGTCGCGCTATTTCCACCATCTTCTTCTGTGAAGAGTTTTGTCGTTTGTAAATTCCTAACTGGAATGGTTGAATGGATTTTTGTCACGACATGGCACACTTCACAATTTTACATCTCATCATCAAAGTCCTTCACCGCGGCGCTAAATCAGTGATTAGTCATTGGTGGTCACAGTTTGTGAGAAAAAAACCCTTGGAGAGGAAAGTATGTCCGGAAGTCGTGAATCGGCATCATCTATAATGCTCTCCATTTTTATTCTTCAAAACTTCCTATCAATTGTTCAATGAATGAGATGCACTTACCATGTAAAACCATTGCTTAAGAATATTTTCTGACACTACTAAAGTAGGCATTAAAACCCCGATTAGATCAAAATAGTAAATCTGAATTACTGTCTATGAAAATGACGTCTATCTATACAGCTCGCTTGTCTTACAGCACTGAAGTGCCCATCGAAATCGTTCCTCTTTTCTCCTTTTGGCAGTTCACACAAAGTCGGTGAAATGTCGCACTTCCGATTGCGTAAATGGTTGTTCGAATCAAATCTTGGTTGTTATTCGCCTTAATTGAGGTCTGTTCTAGCGGAAAATTATTTCGCTTTCTCACTTCTGCTATCTGATGTGCTTCTAAGCTGTTGAAAAATGGTGCATACTCACTTCGCCTTCTCAATCATTGGTTTTAAAACGGTCACTGAGAGCTGAATGTATTGTGGCAGGCATTTTTTATTATCTGGGGGAGGGGGGGGGGGATGATTTGTGCAACTTTAACTTTGGAATATGGACCGCCCGAATGAAGAGTCTTCGTGTCTATTTGATTCCGCCTACCTCCTCGTCATTTGTCAGACAAATTATCAGTCGATATCGCTTGCTTTCCACAAGTAAATGTAGGCAATATTCTGAGTACTAATGACAGCTCATAGGAAAGGGTCCCTCGTTTTCACTCAAGTGGGGAGATCGCCGTACCACACTCATATCAATCAACAGTGGCTTCCAAGTGTTCTGGGTCTGACAGGTGATGAAACGTCATCTCCAATCCCCTAGATCAGTAGGCTAATTTGAATCCGAAACGCCATTGATCCAAACCCTTCCCCTCACCCAAGAAAATTGAAACCTTAAAGTTTGCCCTTATAAACGAAATTGGAATTGCTTTAATGCAGTTATTATTAGCATATTATCATTATTCTTCATACCAAAGCGTTCGATTCCCCTGTCTTTTCAAGGCATTTATTTCTTACAGTCGAAAAAATACTTATTAGCCAGTTAACGACTTCCCATGTTTCGGTGATTGCTTGTCATCCTTGAAGATGCATTCATGGATTTACCTTCCACAGCTCATTATCACGCTAAACGAAAACTATTCATGAGTGATTTGGGAAGGCAATAGAGTCGAAAGGGTGTGTGTCGGGAAACCAGACGGTTTTAGTTCGCTTTTTTTCGCTCTGCTTTCGGTGTCAAATTTATCTTCTTCTCGATCACTTGAGAGAAGCACTGTGGTCATTGCCGCTGTTTTTGGCGGTGTTACTTGGCTTTGCCAACAGCGATATCAACAGATCACCGCGTGTCTATTTCTCCGATAATTGAGTTGGGACGCGCTGACCGCCAAAATCCCCTGCATCCGCGAATTTCTGCTTTTTTTGCTCTCGTTTGGAGGTGGGGAGTTTTATTTTTCATTAAAAGGAAGAGGTGCGGAACTTGTTTAATTGAGGTCCTACTGACCGCGGTGTGCGGCAAAGTGGGGGGGGGGGGGTAGTATTTACGATGTTCTCCGCTTAAATGTGGTTTATTTCAGTTGTTTCTCAATTAAAGCCCCTATGTTGATTGAACACTTTAATTGGAATACTTGCTAACCTAGGGCCATAATGCATTGTCTTGAGGGGTGGAATTTTTACAATCCAAGACCGGTCTTGTGCTTTAGATGAATCTCTCTTTTTTTAATTTGAATGAACTTAAAAAGATTAGGGGACTTTGGTAGCCCGAAAATAGGAGTCCTGTTAAGTCTGTTGGTAAGTAATTAGATTATTAATGAATTGAAGATTTGCACATTGGCCAATTTTTAAAGAATGATTTTCAGCATTTATCATAACTGAAGTTTAGGAATTGATTGCTATAATTGTCATGTCGCTCTCTTACCCCCCCCCCCTCTTTACCTCGATTTTAAACTCGGAATCTGTTCGATTTCCTCATCTCTATCATTAATTGTCCCAGGGGTGTGAGATAGACTTACCTTCAACGTAATACACCCTTGGCAGCGTATACTAATACGCCAAAAATGTCTATAATCCGGCAGTTGACTTCAAACTACCATGACTCGACTCTATGTCATATTCGACTACTTTCACAGTTCTCACCTCACCTATTTTCTACCTTGTGTCTGTCTGTCTTTTTTACATCTGTGAATCATTATTCTGCCCCCTCCCCTCTCGACTTGTTGTCACTTCGATGTTCCTCCTTCCCTCTGTGAAGCCCGAAGTCAGCTAAATGGCTAATGATAGCTATCAAAACGCCTGCCATTTGATATAAATAAAAATATCTTCTTCCATTCGATTCTATAAAGTGTCAACAATAAAGGCCTTCACTTGAATCACTCTTCTGTTCCCTCTCTCGACTTTTTGCCACTTTGATGTTCCATCTCCTCTCTGTGAAGCCCGAAGTCAGCTAGATGGCTAATGATAACTATCAAAACGCCTGTCATTTGATACGAATAAATAAATCATTTATTGTCTCAAAAGGGAAAAATAACGTATTTTTGTTATTCGGCAGTATATATACCTTGTTAGAGCATATAGACACTGAAAGTGTGCGTTTGTTGATACAGTTTTGTGAATTATGTTCAAGTTTCTAATCTCCTATTTCAGAGTTGTCCGCATACACAACTATCCCATCTCTATTTGATTTATTTTAATTTTTTTCCTAGATCTCTGACCTTTTCTCAAACCCCAAATCTAACCATCAAACACCCCCCCCACACTCTATTCCTGACCTATTTAGTCTACATAAATGTCCCCTTGCTCTTGTGATGATTGCTGCCTTTAACTGAATTTATGGCCAATTCACTCACCCACTCAAGGAAAAATCAACTGCGCAAAATCCATAAAATGAGGGCTGATTCCATAATTACTACTTCTGCGTCTGTCATCTTTCCCTTTTCCCCCACATGAAAAATATGCGAGAGGCGTAGGGTCGAGCAGCTAGACAAATTGTCTTGGCGTATATGCCAAGCCGCTACAGTTTACAAAGAATTTCATTTCCTTGGCCTTGTACACGCGCGTCTGAGCTTTCTCATTTCAATTGTTTATTTCTTCTTCTCCTCCTCAAAAAGGATACTTCATATTAAGAGGGGGGGGGGAGGGGGAGGGGGAGAGAGGGGCTTCATGTAGAGAAATCGTCTCCAATCCAGATTGCTTGAATTCTTATCGGCGTCGGCATCTAGCCGTTAACTTGAAACCACCACTTTTTCATGCCCTGACTTTGCATTGAATTTGAATCGGGGTGGATGGCTTCGAAACTTCTCCACCATCTATCTTATCGCAATTTCCTTGTGATTATTTTTGTTCGGCCCTATTGCATTGCATAAATTTTATTCAAATTTGACTACTAAAAGGCAAGTGACTTTCCTCAACATGCCAATTCAGCCACACCCATCGATTTATGCTCACTAATTGTTGAGTTGTGATGGAGTAATTTGCTCTCATTTATACTTCCTCTTTAAGTCTTTTGGCGTGTGTATTTGATTATTTTAATCAAGATTGCCAGCTGTTGCGTTTGCCATACCATAGCAAGTAATAGGGATATTAGTAGCAGTAGTAGTAGTAGTCGTTGCTGATTGGAAGAACAATATCTGCTCAAAAAAAGGCTAAAGAGTGAGTTTATTCTGAATAAATGTGGGAAATACCATTTGGGGAATATAAGTGGCCTTAATGGGATGTCGTGGAGGGACAATATGTCCATTTAAATTATTTACTCTCCTCTTTATCCTACGAGGTGGTTGACAACTTTCGTTCTTTTTTCCGCCTGAATGCGCGAATGTTACGCTTTGAAGGCGCGTTTGAGTTCGCTCATAATTCCTACACAATATTTTGGGTCCTAAACCACGATTCAGTGTACAATCTCTTTTATTTCATTATTTGTTTGAGTGTGTAATTCTTTTCCCTCTTTATGTAATATACCTATAATTCTCTTTTCTTAAACAATAGTAGTCTTCTAGTCTTGTGACAGGCCAATTCCCATTTCTCTTGTCACTTATCTCCATGCTCATTTCGTTTTTTTACTCACACTTTATTTTCCTGCTTTCACTCTCACCATATCTCTTGTTTGCTTATCTCCCATTCTCAATCTTATCGCTAGCGTTAGCAGCAGTATATTTCGCCTCTTGATTTACAAATTATTACACTACTCTGAAACCCCATTCTCTCTGATTCATTATTTATTCGCTATTTTTCGGGTTTCCTCTGATCTGATTCCCTTGAGTTTCTCATCTCCATCACCGTCTTGTCCCATCTTCCATCTCCCTCGGGAATACTTTGCCTTCTTTTGATGAAGCAAGTCGATTTTCATTCGTACACAAACCTGCGTGATATCTCCTTTTGTATTTACGTATTCACGAGTTTTATTGTCTCCTCTCTTCGTTTGGCCGACGAGGTAAAACTCTGTTCGACTCTTTGTAGTGGTGGTGGTGGTAGTGGGTGGGTGGGTGGATGGTCGGTATAAATCCCCTTTCTTGTGGTCTTACTGTCCATAAATACACTTCTGTCGGTTCTTTAGTAGGCAAATTTTATGGAATATCGACCATAGTCTTCGTATAAGATACGCTTCATTGTCGGCACTAAAGTTATTCTTCTATCACTAAATTCGTTGGCTTGACCACGCGTTTAATTCAATCTATTGAGGTAATTAATTGCCACTTAGAAGCCTTGGGGTGTCGCATCTTTGGAAAATTAAGTCTTTTTGGGAAAAATTGTGCCTTTCAGTTGAAGAGCAGACACCTTACTGTCTCGGGAATTTAGATGAATTAAACCCTTCTAAATGTTTTGATCTTTCTCCTCCATCAGCTATTTGCTTCTCTGCGGCTTCCGGCTTTGCCCCACTGCCTTGAAATGGGAAAAAGTACTTATTTATGCTCCACACCAGTGGCACAGCGATTACCACGCTGATTTCGTGTGGTTCATAAAGAGGAGAAGAAGAAGAAGGAGGAGGAGGAGGAGGGACATTCTCCGAGTCTCTCGCCAAGGAGACCCCTTGATACTGCTCCTCCTCTTAAGATTGAGCAAGAATTTTTATTCTTTATGTTTTCAGACCACTATGATAAGTCTAACGTGAATAGCAAACACTGCTTCTAAATGAAATTCTCTATCTCATCCTGACTAAAATCTATCGTTGTATTCGCAAATGCGTCGTTAGAATTACGATTTCCCTCTTATATTGGCAGCTGACATAAGTATTAGCCTAGCTCAATTGGCAGCAGATATTCGTGCTCCTTGAGAATAAATGAGAAAAAAAATCACTCGAGTTACATTGTACAATTAAATTATTTTTTCTGCCTCACTTCTCTTTCTTCCACCCCGAGGCGTTGCTGTTGGGCTTAATGCAACAACGCCCCCCCCCACCCTCCCTTCTCTCTCTCTTCCTCTCTCTCCCACCCCTGTTGTCGAGATAAGTTTCCTTGAGTAGACAAGATGTCCTTTATTTGCTCATTTTTGGGAGGAAAATAAACTCAAAATATCTCCTGTTGCTGCATTAAGTGATTGACGTGAACATTTTTTGCCTTTTGACCAAATTTATTCATAACAAATGGTAGGCATTTCGATAGTTTCATTAGCCCTTTAGGTGACTTCAGGCCTCACAGAAAAGAAGAAATATCAATGTGGAAAAAAATTCGAAAGGGGGGGGGGAACAGAAGAGTGTTTTAAAGATGTAAAAGAGAGACACAAAGGTAGAAAAAAGGTGAGGTGAGTACTGTGGAAGTAGTTGAATATGACGTACAGTGAGGTGATGGTGGTTTGAAGTAAGAAGTCAACTGCCGGTTAACAGACTTTTTTGCCGTATGAGTATACGTTGCCCAGGGTGCACCACGTGGAGGTAAGTCTATCGCACACCCCCTTTTGACCAAATAGAGTGAGACCAAGTAGTCTCAACGCCACCGCTTCAAGGAGTTTTTACGATCTTTAGTGCAATTAATGCAAGCAAAGAAGTTGAAATGATAGGATTTCTCTTAACTCTAATGGTGTTCCTTTTCGGCCCATAGTCGGGCGCAAGTTAATTCAGTAGTGTGCGTGTGTGTGACGCAAGTGAAATATGTCGTCTTGAGTTATGTTAAATACAAAAAGTAGCCTTCATGAAGTTCACTTAACACTTAACTATGAAGTTATAACTACTCAGATCGCAGGAGGAAGACATTTTAGTAAATAAATCTATTTAATATGTGAAAGGAAAGTTATGTTATTATTGATTTGTCACGCTTGGGCGTGAACGTGGAATTCAATAAACGATAATTTCCATTTGAGTGCATTGAAAGCATCCGGTTTGTTTTCCGAACATGTGCATTTAAGGCCCATAAAATCAACGGCAAGTCGTTAAGTCATGAAGGTATTTGGAATTGTGGCCTACTTCTTTATCTTACTCTTAAAGCATTTCCCGATTTTTATAGAGATTCACCCCGACCAGCTGGGAGTGGTTCAAATCAGATGAGTAATTCTGGAAGAGGTGGCAGTTTTACAGAAAATTTGAAATGGCGAAGTGAACACCCGGGAACAGATGCACCAGGTCTTTTAGCCGAACAGGAAGCCCTTCTTCAAGAGCAGGATGAGCATCTTGACCAATTGGGTACAAGTATCTCTCGGCTTAAGAATATGTCTCATCGGATCGGTATGGAGTTGGGTGATCAGGTTGCGTTACTAGATGATTTTGGTGAAGAGATGGCTCAAACAGAATCTCGGCTGGATCATGCGATGCGCAGGGCTGCTCATCTCCTTCATATTGACTCGTCACGGGCTCAGTGGTTCGTTATTGGAATCCTACTGCTCACTCTCCTGATTATCATTATACTCTTCGCAATCCTTTGATTGGAGCTTCTTGAAAACCTGTCGTCTTTCATTGTGATTTTCGCCCCCCCCCCCTCCCCTCCCTCGACGTACGAACTCTGTTTTTCCATCTCTTAAGCATATATAATGTTGGTATCTATTGATCAGCCTGTTGTATGTTTGTGAACTCTGCCTACGTTGATGTGACGTTTGAGTTTTGTCCCTTCTACTGTCTTGTGGTCGAAATAAATTTCGTAATATACCTACTCTCGCCGTTTTAAAAGTGATTTGAGAGACCTTAGAGGTAGTAAGAATCACTCATTTATGTATTCTAAGAACGCGCTAAGACCACACACTTTGAGCACTTAGAACACCTGGCAAGTTTTAATCTAATTAATTTGGCGAGATACGGGCTGGCGGTAGCACGTTATATTTGCAGCACAGTGCGGAGGGAGGTGGGGGGGGGGGGGGGGGGGGGGGGGGGGATAGGAATAGAAGATGACTGTTGGCTTTTAATGCCGATTGACGCTGGTGTTTGCAAAACGTTGAAAGTAGATGACCAAAATCCAATTGGATCATAGTTACCAGTCTGAGTTGGCTAGTGGCTGTCCTTGAAATCAAATCTGAGTTCTTGGCGCAATACTTTCATTCTCTCTATATTAACTAATTTCTTCTCCTCTCTCAAATTTAAAACAATTTGAGTGTAATGCAGTATGCGATCCTCATCCATCCCCTTTTGAAAGTACGAAGATATGGATTAATTGGATTGGCTTGGAACAGTCATTGAGTTAAATCAACCGATCAAATTACTTTGAATATCACCAGTATGATCTCACCCTCAAATGTCCGAATTAAAGCATTTCAGTGGTAGGATGGTGAACCATACTTTGTATGAGAAGGCTGACGAAATTGAGATCGAGTACACTTCTTAACATCTCGGATTTATGACTGAATATGTAATATATACTTGTGCCCCACCTATCATTGATTTGCTTTCCCTATTTGCAAGCTATTTTATATGTTTGCGTTCAATTTCACTCTATTCATTTCCTAATTCCATGAATCCGAGAATCACTTCCAATTGGGCTTCAAAGCAGAAACTGACATAAATTCCGAATTAACAGAAGTATCACCCTCGCCGCCACTTGATACGAATCAAATTACCTCAGATCTTCCCAACTCGCATAAATGCCTTAAAACGAACATAAGTAATTACCAATAGATGAACTAGTGCATTAGTTCGAGCCAAAGTTAACTCTATTAAAAATATCGTCATATTTCTTGGGTGGTGAGACTTTGGAATAGAGGCACAGAACAGGGCCTTCTCGCCAGGATACACCAGGAGTCCTGTTTACTTCTTTTCATCGCAATAACTGAATTAAATCATGGTGCTCACATTTCATGTGCTAACTTGTTTTTTATTCGCGAGTGAGATTACCTCCGCATGATTGAAATCTCGTCGATTTAATTCTGTGATTGGAAGTGCCACCTCGAATGATTGTTGCCCTAAATTACAAGTAATTTAGGTAGCTGAGAGTTTAAAAAAAGCCATTAACGCAGTGGAGATGAGGTGACTCCATTTAAAGCGCATTTTATCCAGTGGTTTACCATTTATTTCATCAACTATTATAGTGAAAAAAGCTGATTTCCCAGTGCTTTTGTTCACTTGAGCGGGAAGATGTTACTTTATTTGTGAATGAAGAGCAAGAATTTCGCACTGTTTTAAAATTGTCAAAAAATCTAAAATACACGGTGTTCAAATTGCTTTTCGGAATAAAACACGCAATAAACATATTAAATATAGGCAACAATTTCGTCACTGTGACAAAAAGAGAGTACCATAAATGAGATCGTCCCCTTACCCCCGCCCCCCCCCTCTCTACAGAAAAATACTTCCTTGTTCATAAGTAGCTAATCATATTTGATGAGACTTCACTTGTCTGTGTGTGCCTACACAAGCGACAAGCTGATTGATTGGCACAATTCAAGGTTTTCCACTCTTTACTGAACTGATTTTCACAGAGTGATGGTGCAACACGTCCCGCAACTGTGTTTGCAGTAGGACTCACAGGAGGACTCAAACGATGAGTCATTTTTTATACCTTAAATTGATACTTTCTCCAATTTAGAAATGGGCTCTATAAATAATAAAGTGGAGACAAAACAAATAATTAAAATTTTACTAATTGATTTTCAGTTGCCCTCATTACTCACATCGACAAGGGGGGGGGGGTTGGAGGAGAGAAGTGGGAATTATTAATTTCGGGAAGCAACGGAAGCTGCTTCAATATATATTTGAATGGGTCGATAGTGACCTCACTGTATCAAAACGACTTCTTTCATCCAATTACTCGACTCAAGTTTTAAACCATTTACTATGTGGTTAGTTCACGGTTCAAACTTGGTATACTTTCTATCCTAGAATATAAGCACCACGAGTACTTGAAAGAGCACTGAGTATTAGGAAAGTTATTTTAAATGAGCCAGTTATACTACTGAATATTCGTGTTAGTAATGAGGTGGGGGGGGGGAGGGAGTATTAGAGTAGTTCAACTAAGAAGAGCAAAAGGCATATGCTGAAGTAGTGACTAATGAACCAGACACTTTAAAGAGCCGTACTTCAAAATGGGTGTATCAGTTTGCTCACAAGTTACTTATTGGGTGCATTTTGACCTGCAAAGAGTTTCAGCACTCATAAAGTGGCACCAAACCTTTTGGTCTCCTAGACGTATTCAGGAACGCTTTTGTTTCGAGTTTCTTGAGGAGTGTCTCCGTACATCTGTTTCGGAGTTGGCTAAATTTCGATCAGTCGTTTTTTCCGTAGTGGAGGTCACATATATGCATTTACTAATCGAATCAATCAAGGAGGGGGGGGGGTGAGGGGGTTGGTCTTTATTGATTGACTTTGTTAAGACAATGAATCAATCTGAAAATCACTGCCAATTTAAAACCTTTTCTATATGCTTACATTCAATGATCTCTTGTAATTACTTTTGCGTTTAATAGGCACTGATAATTACACAAAGGCAAAATTTATGCAAATTACCCTTTCTTTTGTGAAATTGTCTTTGTTACAATCTTCAATCGATTGATGAAAGGTGATGCTTAACCATTTGTCGAGAGTAAAACTGGTTCTCAAACGGAGAGTCCTTACTTTGTTACCCTTAAATTTACGGCACGATACTAGACTATGATAATTAAACTTGAGCAATAATTGATTATGGACTAATTAACAAATAATGAAAGTGAAAAAAGTGGTAGAGTGAGCATTGGAGCAGAGAATCAAAAAGGAGCGCTGGCTGGAGTGTGCAGATAAAGTGATAAACTCAATTCGAATTCCTATTACATTGATCTGTCCTTTCTCTTCAAAGCGATAATATATATTCGAATGTTCAAAGGCCCAATTTTTAAGATCTGATCCTTGGTTTTTTTGTAGGCGTAGACAATACTCACAACTTATGGCAAGTTGAATTGTTTAAGCAGTTGGTCATTCCATTTTGATTCGCTTGAACCTTATTGGAGCCATACACAGGTGGATATTACACGCAAAAGACATTTTTAACACATTCAGGAGGGACACAAGACTTAATTCAAGGTGAACTCCGACAATGGCATAATTTATTACCACATAAATATGGTCCTTGACTGGGCAGACATATACACTCACATTGTGCTATTGATTAAGGCAGATATTGCACTTTGAAAACAGCATTACATATTTACTGGAAACTCCCTTTGGGCTCCATTTGAAGGGGTTCTATGACGCATCGCCTGTCAAGAAGGGAAAAAACCAATTTAATGATTATTAGAAGTTTATTGTGCACTTGCACGAGGAATCCTCTTTATTATCAATTGCGTTATGGGAATGCCCAAGTTGGGGTCATAACTGAAGTAGAGTGGCATGAAAATAAAAAGAAATCAATAAAAGATTGGGTGGGGGGAGGGGGGTGCGGGGGGGGTGGGGCGATAGAGCGAAGATCTGCTGCCGTGTTCTTAAAGAAAGGAAACTAGTGTTATTAAACAGGGCCAAGAGCTATTTGTGGTTAATGTTCTCTTTCCCACAACAATAGCTCTTATTGGAAGGTCAGTGGTACATGTTCAAGCTGTTTACTAGTTTGACGTGTGTGTAAAATTTCTTCCTGCAACAATTATATTATGTCATTTGGGAATTCGAATTAATTAACAAATCGATGTTGACGAACGGTTTAGTAGCTGTTCTTTTGCCTAAGCAAGTTTATTTAATGCTCAAAGGCTTTGCAATGCAATTGATCGGTGCTTTTACAATAGGTGTTGTTGTTATGAATAGCAAACTAACGAATCTGACTAATATTTCACCCAAATTAGCAGTAAAGTAAGGCCTCGAGCTACCAGGAAATGCATGTTCTGTTCTGTTAGCACTGCCAACGGCGACATTGGCTTGAATGAAGAGGTACCATCTACGACGTTTGTTCATTGCTCATCTGTAATTTCTGAAAATGTTTCCAGATTCTGTTTTCCCGAGTAATCGAAGAATCACAATGTTAGTATTTAGTAAAGCGTGCGAAATATCAAATAGTCAGCACCACCATTGAAGCCGTTTTAAAGTGACAAATTCGAAAATTCATTTTCTTAAATATTTATTTATTATTTTATATCAAATGGTAGGCGCTTTGATAATTATCATTAGCCCTTTAGCTGACTTCGGGCTTCACATAGAGGAGGAGGAGGAACATCAAAGTGAGAAAAATTCGAGAGTGGGAGCAGAAGAGAGATTCAAAGATGCGAAAGAGACGGACAGACAGACACAAAGGCAGAGAAAAAAGAGAGGTGAGTACTGTGGAAGTGGTAGAATATGGCATACAGTGGGGCCATTGTAGTTTGAAGTCAGAAGTCAACTGCTAGTTAATAGCCTTTTATTCCCGTACGAGTATACGTTGACCAGGGTGCACCACGTGGAGGTAAGTCAATAGCACACCTCTTATCTTAAATATAACGAAGTAAATATGAGATAGTTTTATACAAAAACTTTGTAATAAAGAGTTAAGCAAATAAGGTGAATATTT